TCATTATAACGCGAATTTACGCTTTTGAAATTCATGATGACGTAGGTGAAAACCAAGAATTGCATTACAAGTTCTATTACGTAGTGACCGTTTGTAATAGGGGTGTATTGAGTTACGAGTATTATGTAATGTCATCAACACATGAAACGTGATCGTTTTACCGATTTAGCATCACCAAGCCGGGCTCCATGTGGCCGAGTGCGTCTTCAAAGTAAGATATTCGCTCTATAGGGCCATTATCACCAGAAACGATAAGTCTGCCTTCRGACAGGTATCTTGTTATGCGGGAATTTAGTCAGTGTATATGATTCTGGTATTATAGGAAGATTCCTATAATAACAGAACCTATATCCTGACTAAATTCCCGCATAACAAGATATTGGGTGTCATTTTATAGTCGTTCTGATTCATTCGTTACATTATCGGCGCCATCAAATTTCAACCTCGAGAGCTCTTCTCTTCTCGACGTCCAGACGTCAATGAAGAGAATTTTACGTTTTGTCTTTTCATACTTCGCGCACCGTGTCCAACCCCCCTGCCAAAAAAAAAACCTATATCTTTGCGACTGGTGATCGTTGACACAATTTATAGCGCAACTTACCTGCCAAGCTCGGCATATATATTATAGTGTGTGTCGATATCATTTTTCCATGTAATATCACATGCTTTGGGTTGGCGAACTGTGGTTTTGGCCAGATCTGTAATGAAATCTAAAAACAAGTTCCCTTCTGTAAACACCTAGATTCTAAATCGTAAAATTTCCTGCAGCGAGTAATTTGGATTAGAATTGGTTTATTATACTCACGACAAAATCATTTTGTCTTTTATTTCATTTAATGATTTATAATAGGAATTTTAGGGAAACCATCTTGATCATGTAGTGTACCAGGTAACTGTGAGGCTACGTTTACACGGTACCGGACGAATTTTGAAGCGTTCAAAAAATTGGTCCTTTCTTCAGTAGATTTGCGCCAAGTCGACCTCTCTAGTCTCCCGAGGAGTTTTTATTCGAGCGAAGCGAGAATTTGTCGAGCGTAGAAAGGGCAAAAGTCTACTTTTTCGGGTACCGAATACAGTTTATGTTATAGAAACAACAAAATACTCCAAGTTATACAATAAACCAAGCTAACAAAGAAAACAGTAGGTTTGCGGTACATGCGCAAAGACCCAAAACGTTATCTTAAGACCCTAAATTGCGGCCTGCGGCCCTCGGGATGTATACGGCTTATTCCCTCCGTTCTCGGTAATTAACTCTTACTTATCCGGTTCCGTAACATAAAACATACTTTTTATACAATAGCGCAGCGCAGCCGTGACGTCATAAAAACGAAGACAAAGRCGAAATTCGGACAAACAAACTTACAAGTTTACTTTCAGCAGATAATTTTCACAGCCGATCGCAGTTTATCTTAGTTTACATGGGTTATTATTGTAACTTTAAGTAAAAATAATAAAATCGGTTCGTATAATCCTAGTARCGGCTAAACAGAATGCAATGTTTGTCCGAATCTTTAGCTATTTTTAGAATCATCGCGCTGCGCTATTGAAGAGACGATTCCGTGTAATTATGTACTGACCAAATTTTTGAACGGTAAAAAAATTCATCCGGTACCGAGTAAACGTACACTGAATGGCGTTGCTCTGACGTGAACCACGCTTAACAACCTGTAGTCAACTCATACAAATACTGGAAGAAATAACTCACATTCCCTTTCCAGACTTGATTTCTTTCTTCTGTAAGCCGCATCATTCACGAAAGAAATTTGAGAATATCCTCGATCATGTTAATATTCATTTATGCTTTTAAGTGACAGCTATTATGGAGCGGTACAGCCGAGCAGCCGTTTAATTATCTGGGGTATGACTGAATGGGTTGATTAGACGTGTTATATCGGATTGTAATCAGCTACTCAAAAGAGAGAGAGCACAACTTTATTTTTTCACGAGCGCAAAGCTTTATTGAATTATAATCATATGTTTTATTCTTTAGAAATGCTGTTAATAGAGAAATTTTATTTGGCTACTGAATTTAAAGCAGAACTTACTATTAGCCATTAGACAGTATAGGGCTAYTGGGGCCTCTCGCGGGACGAGTTGAATATTATTCCATTGTGTTATATATCACGTTAAAACGAGATAACTAGAGAGAAAACGCCTGTCTTTTAACGAAAAGTCTCGTATGTAATAAACGCGAACTCAAAGTGTTGTGGGTCTCTTGAAAGTAGGCATATAGCTTACTCAACTCAAAATACGAAGTGTGCGAGCGTTTACCATATTGAAACGTGATTTCATATTTATGGTGCCAAATCTCAAATTACATATTAAAGGTGCACACTTTTTCTATGGAGAAATGTTGACAASACGTTGAAACCCTATTTTGAGTTTGGAGCTATTGCATTCATTACACATCATAATTTATGATTTAAAAAGAATTCTCTGGTTATTTAGCTTTAAAATGATATATAATACTATGGATTAATATTCAATCCGATGCGCCTCCCCGCGAACCTAATTTGTAACCTTTATTTGAATTTAAAAAAAAAAAACAAGATTTAACGGTGAATTCTTTGATTACACATAACAGTTGTTCCTCGCGCTATTATCGGTCAGTTAGCAGGGTACTTGTTTCCTTCTGGGCCTTGGACGGCTTCACAAGTATAACAACAACAATGCTAACATCACATATCCGCCTACCGGTATTTATCATGAAACTCATGTTTCTTGTGTGACTTCTAAAACTGGAGCCACTTGGGCAACGACAAAATAAATGAAAAGAAAAAACAAAACAAACAAACAACCAAATCTAATAACATTWAACGATCTCAAGGACTTAATTACTTTTGAAATAACATTTTCAATAAACAACACTTTGCTAAATTCTAAATAGTGAAATGCTTTCATCATTCTGTTTTGGCCTGTATACAAATGTGTTGGTAGTCACACATCAAAGACTAGAGCAGTTTTCGTATGACTGTGAAAAGCTCAGTGCCGTAAGCGTGCCGTGACCGTGATGTTTTCATGAATTTTAATTGGCTGAATTCTTTTCTCGCGCAATGTGATTKGTCTAACATTGCCATGACCTTGGTGTGACCGTGTCCGCGCCGTGTTAATACCTTGTTCCGGGTATTTGATTGGATGGAGAGTAAATTCTCGTGCAATCAGATTAGTCTGGCGTATCCCTTGCYGTCTTCGTCTTCGTGCCGTGAGCTCTTCGCAGTCATACGATAGGACGTATGCTATATTTTCAACAAAAATACTTATAACGAGCGAGAAACCAGTACTAGCGTGAGGATTTGTTAATCACAAATTCAATACTCAACAAAACAACCGCACAAAGTAACTGATCATGAACAAGATATCGTATTTATGAGGAAATTACGTTTAACAGATTTTTGYTGTTGATTCCATTTTCTATAATTACAATTTTCTTTAAATATCAATTGGAATAAAACTTATATATAACCAACAATTTGAAACATTGTAAACAAAGTAAATGACCATCTAAGAAACAATTGAAAAAGATATTGAAAATCTAATAATTTGGTTACCGGTAAAATACGTTCATTCACTTCAACTATAAAAAGACTTTTTCACATTATGACCATATCTACATATTCTTTAAATGATTCACAAATTTCAATTTGTTTTTGACGAGGAAATCTTGGGGCTCTTAAGTGTTTATGCCAGCATGTCACGTTAGAGATAAAATACTGTGCTGTGGTTATCACGTAATATTACGTGACTTCTGTCCTGCACAGCCCAATATTCCCCATCTCCTTTTAGCCATATTTGCCAAATGAATTATTATTATTTGCAATCAATTTTCACCTTCGAGAATAACTACCTAGTTTTAACCTGCACGTTGTCATTGTTCTCTTTTATGTAAAAGCAACCACTGACGAGACAAGTGAACGATACCAAAACATTTCAGAATTGTTTGGAATGTAATTAGCTTATTCTAACTGCGTAATTACATCAATGAACACTCAACATTTATGTCAGTAATGGGTTTAATGGTTTAATATCAAGTGATTTTGAGTGGGGAGCGAAGAATTTTCCCTCATTTTTTCTTTTTTCTGTAGACCTGCAGTGTTCTTCGTTTTAAGACTGAATTAGAATTATAGACCATGGCCACAACGGTGAGGGTATTGCATTAGGAGTACGCAATAAAGGTTTTGCACCACCACGTGATGGCAGCCATGTTAAATGGCAGGAACAATACAGTCGTTTTACATGAGAAATAATTAAATTCCCAAAAGCAAAGGGATTATTATGTTCTGTCATCTAACCATTGGAAGCCAAACAGTATTATGGGATGGGCACCTGATGGTGCAAAACCTCTATACGCACCTCGAGTGAAAAAACCATTTGCAGTATTTGGCTGACGTTCTCTTGTCTTTTCGGCACAGCCACTTTTGACTTCCCAACTGCCTTGTTTACACTTTTTTTTTAAATGTTCAGCAAAATTATCATTAATGTAAAATTTGTTATACATTAAGTTAATATGTAATTAAGCATGATCAGGGGAATYAAACAAGCTTTAGACAGTGTTCTTTTTTCATAAGAATACTACCACACATGTTTTCATCATGTGTGTTGAATTATTTTGATCAAAGAGAYGATATGACAATGAATTAAATACGCTAACGTAGAAGATTAACCTGGACGATGAGTTGAGAACGTGTCAGTACGGTACAACCGGTGGGAGTGGTTAAACATAACCTTCTGAAAAAATAATAGTTATTTTCATAAGAGCAACGTTTACACATGCATTTAAAGAAAACAAAATAAGTCACTTCGATCTTAGTTAACGTAAATTTAACAAATATTTAAACGAAAGAAATGTTTTATCAGCTTACTAGGGGGTTAACTAAACTAAATATTATTAGAATATTTATTACGTTTTACCAAATTCATCGTTATTCTTTATTTTAGGAGTTAATAACCAAGTATTATGTTAAAGCCATTTCTTTCTTAAACCAAACCAAGGTTTGGTTACTGTTGYGCAGGTACATCATTTGCAATAACGATTTCACTATTACATTACGACATAGAGCACAGAAAGATACAACGTAGCAAAAATATAGGAACACGCAACCCCACACACGTCTACGTACCGTTGTCCTGTTCAAGTAAAACAATGTCAGAATGTTCACTTGGTCGACTAATTCCTATCGAGTTATTAGCGCTGACACGAAATTGGTAAGTTGCTCCTGGAGTTAAATCATCTATGAGGGTTGATACGCCTGCTACAAACGGCACAGCAGCTTGCCAGACACTGACACCCGTCTCTTTGTATTCGACTGTGTATGCGGTCACTTCCTTTCCACCATTGAGAGGATTTGGGTCCCATGCTAGTAGAAGGGATGTTGTCATCTTTTCTATTACCCGAGGTTTTGAGGGTGSCTCTGGAACACCTTATAATCAAAGCGAACAATATAGTAGCTATTTCAAAGAAGATTGGTGAATATTTTTTAGCATGTCGCATGCTGCATGTTGTTTATCAAGCTTGAAATGTCTTATATTCATATGTAAATAATGTCAACAACGAAGAGAGAAGAGAGTCRTTGCAGTTTGGGAAAATTCCCGGCCACATTTTAATGCAACTTTTAACTTATTGAATTCACATCGCTCAAAGTGCTGTGTTTGTTTAGAATTACAATTTGATGATGATGAAGTTTTTTAATTAAAATTTTATTCCTGTAAGCCTGGATTTTTGGGATGGATTGCCCGAACTGCATAATCACATGTGTATGACGAAGAATGTAACGCTTTGTGGTTCGTTTTTAAAAATACGTTTTTTGCTTTCAAGAAAAAGGGAAAAGACGGTTTGAGCTGCTGGGACAATTTTTGCTATCAAAATATTGCAAAACATTGCTTGCGTTCGCTTGGTCAGCCTTAAATACTTTCTGCTCAAAGTACAGCTGTTCTTCGCTCATTTAGAGTAGTTTTATAAAATCGGAGAATTCAAAACATTTTAGCACAATGAAAAGTGAAGGCCTCAGAGTTACGATGCTCGTCAGTACATCTAAAAAACTGCAAGTTTCATCGTGTGCCATCTTTCAAAATCTTATGAAATTAATGAAATTATTCTTTATCAATGTATTTTTTATTTTGGGAAAATAATTGTGCGCTTTTTGTGGTAGATTTTATTTTGGCTCATAATACTTGCAAAAATCTATGTTTCACGATTGCGTGACTCAAGGCAAAGCGTTCCAGAGCCTAGGAGCAGCGATGAGCTATGAGCATATGCGTATTCAGACCCCTCATAATAGAACGATTTCACATAACCGACGTTTTACATGCAAATGAGCTTGAAAATTGAATCATTAATAATAATAATAATAATAATAATGGAACTTATATAGCGCACATATCAAAATTCATGGCGCTTCACAATAAGAAATAAAATAAATAACAGACGTATGTTACAATATTAATAAAATGTCATAGTTCATTGATGTTCACTTTGAACCAGAGGAGACAAAGTTCTTGAACAAATGAGTTTTCAGTTCATTTTTAAATAATTGGATTGAAGAACTTTTCCTAATTTGAAGTGGGAGGTCATTCCACAGTTTAGGGCCAGCAACGTAAAAAGATCTGTCACCATAGGTCACCAGACGAGATTTTTGTTCTTCTAGATACTCCATGGTTGTAGATCTGAGAGTGCGCAAATTTTTCCTCGATTTTATAGCATCAGCCAGGTATGGGGGAGTCATATCATGCAAGCACTTGTACACAATGAGCAATATCTTGAATATAACTCGGAAACGGACAGGAAGCCAGTGCAATTTTATCAAAACTGGAGTGACATGATCAAATTTACTCGCTTGAACTACTAATCTAGCTGCACAGTTCTGAATATACTGAAGCCTTTTCAAAAGATATTTCGGGAGAC